TTATTAATTTATTTAAATATTTTAAATAAAATTTATTTTATTTTATTTTATTAAAAAAAAGTTTTAAAAATCTATAAAAATTTATGTTTTTAATATTTCACATAAAACTTAAATATTGAAATACTACGTCGGCAAAATTGAATATAGATATTCCGTATCCTCTCAACGAGTTGTAAAGCAGCCATTTGTCCAAATCATATCGTAACTTCAATCCTCGTTCATGACACATGTCAACTCAGTAAGATCCACTACCGCAATACGGAAAGAACAAAAGGGATTTGATTATGCCGATTAGAACCACTAACTGGTTTCTTTTTGGAAAATGGTATTTTCCTACCAAAGTCATCCTTAGATATGACCCCTCACTCCAGTCTGAGTAAGGTCGCTAATTAGTGGGAGTCTTTTCTTTTTTTCCTTTTTTCTTTTTTTAAATTGCGTGTTCAAGTTGTATAAGATTTCTTTTTCTATTTCCCATATTATAGAATATTTACTAATTATTTTATTTCGATAAAAAAAAAAAAAAAAAAAAAACAATAACAACAACAACAGCAACAAAAATGGTCTCTGGAGCCAAACAGACCTTACCTTCTCTGAAAGAGATCATACCCAAAAAAGGCCAGCCTTTAGTGAGCACAATTTTGCGGGAAAAAACCCCGTCTTTGGACCTTTAAAGCGAAATTTAGATGCAATTATGCATCTTTCACCCCCGTTAAAGGGGTGGGACCACATTTCCGTCGGGAATAGAAGCAGAAGTAATTTGCTTATTTAGAAAATTGAATAGTGAAAGGCAAGCGAAAAGGAACAAGAAAAAGAAAAGAAAACCAGAAAATCCAATACAGTTCGCATAGAATTATATGTTCCGCTTTACACTTTCTCTCATTTCTTCTCTTACATTTGCCTATTCGTTGATTTCCCAATAAAAACTATACTAAACAAAACCTTCCAATGAAATCTTGCGGGACTAAAAGAGAGTCCACTAAGCCTGCATAACCATCTCCTGTTTTGTATAAAAAAAAATTAAAAAAAATGAAAATCATACGATGGGTTATAGAAGAGACCACCCGACTCAAGCTCGAACTTCACGTCTCCAACTTGAAATCTCACCGTCTTGACCAGTTGAGTAGTAATCAGATCTATTCCACTTTATTGTATTCTATCTGGACTGAATGTGCAAATGGAATCGCAATCACTCTGAAACCAGATTCCATGATAACCATATCAACCCCATAGTCCGAAGCTCTACCTTGCATGGTGGCGGCTCTGTCCTGTATACTAACCTCGATTTCTTCTCCAGACTTACAAAAATGAGGTGCTCCGTCGCTAATGCACCGGACACGATATCTTCTCCCGCAGCCAGCTCCGCGATCCCATAATCTTTCACCAGCTGCAACAGGGTAGACTGACGGGGGCAGCTTCGATGAACCGATCTTATCTTCACAGGCAGTTCG